AAAACTTGTTAAAAAAAAAAAAAAAAAAAAAAAAAAAAAAAGACTACAACGATTTAAGCAATTTCATATCTAAGAAGCTGTCCTAAGTAAATCATCAGAAATAACACTATTTCTAAGAGGACAACACTGAAAACAACCAAAAGTTTTACAATTACGGTTAAGATGAATGAATGGGTAGCCATAGTGAAATTTAACACAGCCACTAAAATAGCAGAAAAAAATTTTGAAGTAATAAACTGGTTTAGACAGGCAGATCCCTAGAGCTTGATGACCAGCCAGCCTAGCAGAAAGGATGAATTCCAGTTCAGTGAGAGACTCTGTCTCAAAAAATAAAATGGAGGTGGGCATGGTAGCATAAGCTTTAAATCCCACCACTAAGGGGGCAGAGGCCAGTGATCTCTGTGAATTTAAGGTCAGCCTGGTCTATATAGTGAGTTCCAAGCCTGCCAGGGTTATATAATGAGATACTGTCTCAAAAACAAAGTGGAGAGTGATTGAGGAAGACACTGGACCTTGACCTCTGATATCTCCACATATGTGCACACACATGAACATGTATACGCACATTCACACATACATAGAGTGCTTTAGTATATGAAATAAAAAAGCAACAAAGAGGTATATATTGTCTAGTCACAATATTTGGTTTATAGTTTCAAAAATGATTATATACATGTGGGAAAGAACATAGGTAAACGATTGTTATTCCAGCTTACTTTATTAGTGGAGGTTATATTTATCTTGTTTAAGTCTTTCTGTATTTTCTAAAATGTCTACAGTGACTGTTTATACTTCATCAGCCAGGAGAATAAACAGTAGGCAAGTGTTGTGATACATAACTGTAAACAGTACTCAGGAGGATCTCAAGTTTGAGGCCAGCCTGAGCCACAGAGGAAAATCCGGCCTCAAATAAAAGAAAGGAAAACAACGGGAGAAAGGACAATAAATGTTCTTTAAAAATTCTAGGGACAGGGGCTGGAGAGATGGCTCAGTGGTTAAGCGCACTGGCTGCTCTTGTAGGGGACCTGGAGTTGAATCTCAGCACCCACGTGGCAGCTAACAACTGTCCAGTTCCAGGGGACCCAGTATCCTCTTCTGACCTCCATGGGCACTGCATGACACGGGTATACTTACAAACATGCAGGCAATACACGCATGGGGAAAAAAAAAAAATTCTAGGGATAGAGCCAGGTGTGGTGGCACATGCCTTTAATCCCAGAATTTGGCAGGCAGAGGCAGGCAGATCTCTGAGTTTGAGGCCAGCCTGGTCTACATTGCAAATTCCAGGCCAGCTGGGGCTATAGGGAGACCCTGTCTCAAAAAGAACCCCCCCCCCCGCCCAAAAATGCTAGGGAAAGGGGCTGGAGAAATGAAATGGCTCAGAGGTTAAGAGCATTTGCTGGGCAAACATGAGGGCCTGAGTTCAAATCCCAAGCACCCAAGTAAAATTCTGAGCACCACAGTATGGTGGGAAGCAGAGACAGGAGAATCTCTGATTCTTGTTGGTCACCAGCTTAGCTCCAGGCTCAGTGAGAGAAACAAACACTAGAGAAGAGAAATGCTGACTGTCACGTGATTCATAAAAGTAACTGGACCAGCATTCATTTCAAAAATCTTGGTATATTATTGGTAGTTTGTATCACGCTGTATAGTTTATAAGCTCTGGACGAGAAGATGGATAGCTGGAACTATGGCAACTTTGGAAGACTTTAGAAAACAGATGAAACAGATCTGGTAGAAAGGATTAGAAAAGTCCAACAGAAAGACTAGAAAAATAGCAGTCACCCAGTGATTGATAAAAGCTCAGAAAGTTCGATAAATTGATTTGGGGAAAGGTGAGGAAAGAGGATAAATTAGGGTGAGGGATTACACTTGAGAACAATAGGTAAGAAGAGCTGTCCAGGCAATGATCACCGCTTCCAGCGAGGCACAGGAGTGGATACCCTGGTGTGGGGTTCTTCACCAGGAGCCAAGGCTGCGACTGGGAGCCCTGCAGGAGCTGGGCACACCTGTCAAGGTCTGCAAAGGTCTCTCATGGTCTTCCTCCAGGAGTTTGTACTTCCTCACTCTCTTTTGTGTCCTGTGCCCTCTTGGCCAGGCTACAGCACTTACTGTTTGGTGGAATTGCTAGTCAGAGTTTGTATCAGTTCAACTATGGGGTGTGTTTACAGTTGAGCTATTCACTGTATAAGACTATTGTTTTCTGAGACAGGGTCTCACTCTGTGGCCCAGGCTGGTCCTAAACTTGTGGCAATCCTTCTGCTTCAGGCTCTCAAGTGCTGGGATTATAGGTGTGAGCCTCTACACCTGGCTTCTATTTACTTTGGTGGATAAATACAAGAGCATTTATCCATATCTTTCTGGAGTTGAAAACAAGCTGCCTATTTGTTTATTCACTTAATTTCTACTATGTTTCTTGACAATTCTTCTGCAAATTCTCCATCAGCACTATAAAACATCTCTTGACCTGGTCACTAGGACCAGTGAATTCCCTGGTGTCATTTATTTATTTATTTATTTATTTAT